TTAATTGTTCTATTTACTTCTTCTCTGTATTTATATGGTATTGGGTACGATTTTGTTTTAAAATCTTTTTCTTCTTTTACTTTTATACTATGAATTGTGTGCAATTCTATTTTCTTTATTAACAAGTCCCTTGTGTTGCTGCAATATGGAAATGACTATTGATTTATATTCTTCAGGGCAACTTAAAACTTTTATCATATCCTCTTCTTTACAAATAAAATTATTTTTCATTATGTAATCATTATTCCTTGCTTCCAGTTTTACGCACTCCGCCTCGTAGGCATCCATCTGCTTTTTTCTATTCCTTAAATATTCATTACAATTATTCTTTATATTATTTTAGGACATCTCCCTATCATCAAAATACATTTCTTCTTCATAAACATCATTACTTTCTTTTAATAATATCCTATCAATTCTTATTTCTACTTCCTACTCTTATTTCTGCATAAACTTAATTATTTGCCCTTCCAAAGTTTCAACTTTTTCTTCAAAATCTATCTTCACTTTCTTCTTTTCCAATTCATCATTTCCCATTAATATATCAACACATAAATCCTTGACAATAAATCCTTGCATATTAATTTCTTTATCAAAAATATTAATTTTAAAATTAGCTAGTTTATCAATTTTACCCAACTTCTTATTATTTGCACCAACTATTTTAATTTTTGGAATCTTTATTATATCTGATAGTTTTAATGTATTAAAAATAAAATTTTCCGAGACTAAAGTACTTTCTGAACCAGTATCTATCATAATGTTAATCATTTTATTTTTGGCCATTGCATTTATATAAATTAAATTAATAGATTCAATAATTTTATCTTCATCTAAAGAAATAAATTCAGAAGGTTTCTCATAATGACAATGACCACACTTGTAATTCAGAAAGTTTACTGCATAAAATTTGGATTGTTCGAATTATTCTCTAATTGTGTCTGACCATTTGGTTCTAATGTCCTGTGTCTTTCACTACTATGACTTCTACTCATATTTTCCTGCCTTGTACTATTTCGTTCTCTATCTTCGCAGCTTCTGTTCCTTCGTATATGATTTACCTGTCTGTTGTAATTAGGCCGTTCTGTATTTCTCCTATTGTTAAAATCTTGTCTATTATAATTAGTATTATTATTAACATTTTGTCTATTTTGATTAATATTATTGTTGTTAAAATTTTGCATATTATTTCCATATCTATTATTATTATATGATTGTCTATATTGTTGATTATTATTCTTATTAGATTGAAAATTATTATTGTTTTTTCTATTATTATTATTATTCATCCTAATATCATTGTTATCATTGTTACTTGTCATATTACCTCTTTGTATTTGAATAAAATTGATAAAACTATCTATTGTTTGAATATTTTGTACAGTTACTGTTTGTACAACATCTGCATTAAAATGTCTAGATACATTTAAAACTGTTTCATCTTCTCTAAGTGGTGGTTCTAAATACTTTGCAACTGTTATCAGCTTTAATGCATAATCTACCATATTAGATCTTAAATTGGGATTATACTTTCCAAAATAGAGAATTTCCCTAAATCTAGCTTGTTCTAATTCACCCCAATAATAATTTAAAAATTTCTTTTCAAATGTTTGAAAATTGTCCAAATCATTTTCAACACTGGCAAACCAAGTTGCTGCATTATCACTTAATGTCATTCTAATATAATCTTTAATATCATTAATATTATTCACTAATCTTAATTTATGTCTTAAACTATTTATGTATACTCTAGGATGCAAATTTTTGATATTACCAGAAAATTTAATCCCAGTGTCATTTGTTAAATTTAAGTAAGATCTCCCTATGTCTCTCATTTGTGAAATATCATCTATTCTTTGTTCCACATTTCTCATTTGATTACTATTTATTTGGATAATTTGTTGTATATCGTCTAATTTTTCTTCTGTCTTTCTCCTGTCTTCGTTAATTTTAACTTCTAAATTACATTTCTGCAACTCTATTTTCTGTTCTATATCTATCATATTATCTTGAATAATCCTATTTACTTCTGTTCTCTCATTTTCTATCCTTTTCTTGTAGTCATGCCCTATATTTTTATTTCATTTGCTACTTTTTTCTCTGCAGCTTCAATTTTTTTATCTATTTGTTTTTCTATTTGTTTTATAATTTTATTATTATTATCTTCTATTTTCTTTTCTAATTTTTTATAATTCTCTTCCAATTTCTGTTCCATTTTTTTCATGTCTTCTTTGACTTCTTTAGAATTCTCTTCCATTTTTTTCGAATTCTCTTCCAATTTCTGTTCCATTTTTTTCATGTCTTCTTTGACTTCTTTAGAATTCTCTTCCATTTTTTTCGTATTCTCTTCCATTGTCTTGTTCATCTGCATCATTAATGACACCAAAGCTGCCATATTGACATTTTCTCCTCTTTCTTGATTCATTTCTACTGAATCTTGTGGAACTTCGACTAAACTCTCCTCTTGTACAGCTTGTGTTTCTATTTCCACATCTTCTTCATTCTTTTTGTTTCTTGTACCTTTCTTTCCTTGAGACATATTGAGACTTTACTTGTTCAAATATACTTAATTAAAAATAACAGCTATAATTGTTTTTTCTTTCAACTAAAATTAATTTAATTATATGAGAGCACTTATCTTTCCAAACTAATTCTTTTAAATAGAGAGAGCCCCGCGTTGGGCGACAAAATTGTTATGATGTGTTGTTGTTGTATGAGCAATGAGTAAATTTGAATGATATATGTAAGTATAGGGTTTTTATCGCGGTTCTCAAAGAATTAGTTTGTAAGTACTTTTTTAAATTATCTTTATTATAAATATTATGAAACAAACCTATCTATCTAATATAAGCAATATCAATTTAACACAATCTATCTAAAATTTGAAATTCTTACAATTATTAAATTATTAACAAAATTTGGTACCTTCTTTCACTGAACGCCTAAAGTTTTTCCAAAATTAAAGTTATTATCACCACTCGATATCTTCTTACTAAGCCTTGGTTATCCAACTATGTTAATATCTACCTTCTGAATTATCTCCACTCACCATATAAATATATATTCAACTCCTTGTAATTTCCATTACTAACTAATAACTGAACTGGTAACTGAACTTAACTGAACTGAACTCATAACTCAAACTGACTAAACTGACTGATAATTAAACTCTAACTGCTAACTCAAACTGACTAAACTGACTGACTGACTAAAACTGACCACTCTCGACAAATTACATGGCTTTTTATATCCTTTCATTGTTTCCAGAATATTCTAGCAATAAATAATGTTCGAAACCTTCTATTTTTTCTATATGAACAATCTGGAAAGATTTCCTGCCTGTGATGTGTTATGTAAATAGTCCCATTGACATTTCTAGAGTTTTCTATCTATACTTTACTTGACTTTAGGCTCTCCAGATCAGAACTACACTATTATATGTAACTTAAACATTTATATTAAATATATTTTTACTATTTTACATCCAAAATTATATTCTAAATTAACATTCCAAAAATAAATATATAATAAACAAATAACATTTTTGACTTTGACACTACAGTGTATGTTTGGTTGCATATGCTGACTCAAAATATCTAATATTAAATAAAATAAAAAAAAACTTCCTAAATTTAATTCTTATGCTAAATTCTTAAAAATACCCTCATATAATTATTTTTTTTTATAATTTTATCTAGTATATAACTTACAAATTATGTCTCTAACCACTATTTAAATAAATTTATTGTATATCTGGTTGTATATATTTCTAAGTTAATTTATTGTTTTTCTGTTTTCATTATAAATAAATAGTAAACTCTTATATATTGGGGAAATCTACAAGAAAGATTCTAATGAGTATCAATTGTTTCGCCGAACGTTTTTGCCAAAGAGAATTAATTTGGCTTCTTCAGGGCTGAAAGAGAATAAATTATAATTAGCTACCATATATTATCTATTAAAAACATTTGATCTTACCGTAACTTAGAATTGTCGAATTAGGATGTTAAAAAACTTAACTAGTAACAACATAGTGGTGTTTTTTGTTACTATGTGCAAAAAAAGTTTTTTTAACGTTGGAAATGGATGGTAGCTTTGAACTTAAAACGCAAAGGTTTACCCAAGTTAATCGAAAAACCCAATGTAACTACATTTAAACGGAAGTAATTCTTTCAATTGACTGCAATAACTAAAATTTTGATTGTTAGAAAGTTTAAATGTGAGGTTCTCTTCAGAATCAGAACGCATGTGCCGACAATTCAAGTAGTCTTTTGAATCTTTATGTCTTTAAGGTTCATTGGTAAAACCGAAGGAAGTTACATCCCAGTTTGGGAAAATATTTTAGATTTTCTTAATTGAAAATATTTTTTAATTATATATATATATATATATATATATATATATATATATATATATATATTTATCAAAACCAACAACATTTAACGCGGAGTCAAACCCGGAATACCATTGATATAACATACAGCTCCCGCGGAAATATCAAAACTAACATATATATATATATATATATATATATATATATATATATATATATATATATATATATATATATATGGATCCATCCAGATACTGACAGAGAATGTAGCGTAGAAGTAATTTTAAACTGTTTGTCCTCGTTTTAGTGTAGTGTTTTGTATAATTTATGTTATTTTTAATATTTCCACAATCTATTGACGAAATGCCCCTGAAGATGCTATTTTAAGCGAAAGTACTTGGGCTAGATTTAATTAACTTGTGCTCGATAATAGCCTTATTTTCAAAGTTCATTTATTCGAGCATTCAACCTCATTTCATTTAATCGTTAATTGTTACTAAATTGTTCTCTCTTCCATTTGGTTAATTAAAAAATTTCAGTCATTATTAGAATTAGCCATTGTTAGTTTTTGATAAAAAAAATGAAAACGTTTTTAGAACCAATAAAATCAAGGATAATTCGAAATGGTATTAGACTGTAAAAGTAAAAGAAAATTCTTTATTTTCAGGAGAGTCCAACTCCTCAAGGCTCACCTCAACTGATACCTCCACAATCAATCAGCAACTTAGCTACAACGCCAGCATCAATTCCCAGCAAATCAGAACCGCAGCAAATTCCTCCGCCGTCTATTTTAAAACCGAATTCCAATAACAATGTCCTACAGTCTTCCCCGCCGGAAGCGACAGTTGCGCCGCCACCGCCAGAGAGAGGTTCTAGTTTTACGATAATGTCTATGAGGGCAAAGGAAACTACCAAGAGAGTATCGTTCAATGATGCATCAGCCGCTGCAGCAGCTGCTTCAATAACGCCGGTTCAACCTCCCAATACTTTGCAGATTGAAGAAACTATTAGAGAAGATCCCAATGTAAGTACCCGTTAATTTTTAGTTAATTCTATATTCTGGGTAGGTATTCAAAATAATACACTCAGGTGCAAAAAATTCTTTCCATGACATATGTTTTAAGTCGATTTCATGAATTTTTCCGATGCGGCAACGTAGCAGCTTATGCAGATATATTATGTCATATGTGAAAATTAAGAAGAGTCACAAAAAGAATCTCAATATTGCTAGCATTTTAAAATTAGATTTTTATGTGGACTACCTTTTGACAGGTTTTAATTCAAAACAGAAAACACGCGAAACGTGTAAGCAACTTTTTGAGGTCCTCAAAGGCGAAGGATTTACATTACGTAAATTATATTCAAGTGATTCTGAAATATTTAGAGATATACAGGATAAATCAACTACGGGTTCCGTTATTCAATTCGGTGAAAACGAGAAGGCGAAAACATCTATAGGCCATATAATCACAAAGCAATCTTTGCAAACAATTATTTTAGACTTTTACTACAACCGGCAACAGTGTGCTTAACTTCAGCAAACATTTCGCGCGCCCAACAGACGAGATCGAAGCATCAATCATCAAGTTATGTCAGCAGTTCGGTAAAAAACAATATATTCGTTCGTTTTATCTACAAAAGACGATAAAGTTTTAGTTTAAACCGCGTTTTGTCAGTTTCAATAAAGCCAGTGTTACAGTCCACCTATTTTTCATTTTGCCTATAGTAATAGCATAAAACGACAACTAAACAGGGTCTATTAAGTGCGAGTAGAATTATAGAGAAAATTATATTACAAAAACTATGACTAGAGCGTCTTTCATGGGATGATACCATACCGGAGCATTTAGCGAAAAATTATTTACAGTTTAGGAATAAATTAGAAAGCTTAAACAATTTAAAAATACCTCGGCATGTTATATGTTATCGTGAAGTCAAAATGGAACTTCATGGATTTTGCGACTCCTCAGAAAAGGCGTACGGTGCTTGCATATTCATCAAATCTACCATTCGTTAGGTAGGTCGTATTTTTCTTATTATGTGCAAAAAGCAAGGTTGGGCTCTTAAAGCCAGTTACCCAGTTACCTTGCCGCGTTTAGAGCTCTGTGGAGCAGTCATTTTATCGCGTTTGACCAATAAGGTCAAAATTCATTAAATGTGCAATTTAACATGTGTTACTTCTGGACAGATTCCTCGATACTACTTAGTTGGTTGAAAACACCAGCCAATGTATTAAAGACGTTTGTGAGTAACTGCGTAGCAGAGATCCGGGAAATCACTTCGTTTGCGCTGTGGCGTCATATGCCAGGCAAGAATAATCCTGGAAGAGCCGTGGCTTTAGCGCAAGATAGTCTTAGCCAATATTATGCCACCCAGGTGCCAGGGTTAATCGTTCTGCTGTTCAAAGAGCCATTCAGCGGTTCAATCAAAACGGCAACTACACTAGAAGTTCAGGATCAGGCCGTAGGAGGGCAACATCCGCACACGATAATCGATTTTTAGTTTCTTCGTGTGTAAGAAATAGACATCTAACTTCAATTGAGCTAGCAAATCACCTAAATGAAGCCTAAAATGTGGATGTAAGTAGGTGGACAGTTTATCGACGACTTCATGAAGCGAATTTATTATCCAGAAGACCAGCCCTATGTCCACAGCTATTGGTGGAACACTGCAGAGCTCGATGTCCTGTTGCAAGGAACATGAAAATTCGAATTACGCAGATTGTAGTAATTTTTTGTTATCGGATAAATCCATGTTTTACTGGAGATCATCAGACTCGCGAAAGAATCTGAAAAAGACGAGGAGAACGATTTGCTCAATGCAATATTTCCGACAGAATAACCTATTGAGGAGGTTATTCTGTATTATGGTTTGGGTTGGTATAAGTTTCGATGCTCGTAGTGGCTTAGGTTCTTGTGGATGGAGGATTCATGATAGGAGCAAAGTGTATAATAACCATTTTAGATTAGCATGTTATAAATTTTGCGCCTGTCATAGCACCCAATTTTATTTTTATGGACGATACCGCGCATCCCTACTACCGAACTAGAATCGTCAATGAATACTTAAAATACGTTGCAATTGTCCGTACTAATTGTCCAGCTTCCGGCCACGACCTCAATCCAATCATACATTTATGAGACACACTAGGAAGACGAATTTCGGCTACTTCGCTCAAATAACTTCCATCAGCTTTGTGCGACTCTTCAGACAATATTCTACAAATTAGACCAACTGGTTCAAAATTTAATTAACACCAAGAATGAATTAGTAGGTATTAATAACAATGGACATAAACATTCTTTTGTTATAACTGTTTTTTATCAACAAAGCTACTTTTCATTTTTTTTTTCAATTTTCGAATGATGCCATATGTTTTTATAAATAAATAATTGTGTTTCTAATTTATATTTAACGTTCCTCCTTAAATATGTGTTTAATCTAAAAAAGGCATCTCGAAAATGTGTCTTATTCTTTATAAAATGGACGTGGATAGAATTTTTTACACCTCAGTATATGTAATTTTTAACAAATTTGTAAGATTGGAGTGCTAGTCTTTTTAAAATTAAAAAACGTTATGTGGCACTCAGGTAGTGACCTAGGAGAGGAAGCATAGCTTTCTTATTATCTAAGGGTGCGTTTATAACGGAGACCGTGGCATTGTATCCTCGCCTAGAGCATAGCACTAAAGCTGAACACTCGCATTTAAGATAATGCATTTATTTTAACGAAAATCGATAAGATGATACCATCCCATGGTCCGAGCGAGGGTCAACGCCTCGTTATGAACGCACGCTAAGCACGTAGCGATGGTTTTAATTTACTTTATTTTATTTTATTTCATTATCTTATTTTATCTTATTTAATTAATAAACACACATGCCACTCTGTGTACTACTCGATGTAGTGTGTAGTCTCGCAGTGTGTGATGGTGCCATTTTTTCGTTACAGTTTTTAATATCGGTTTTATTTTTTTCACACCTTATTTCGATCCACTAATAAGAATGCTATACTTCCAAATATACTTAGGTTTATTATCAACATTGGTCTAGTTAAAGATAATAAAATGGTTGTTTTGGATTAATGAATTCAAAAGTTGTGTTAAAATCAACGCTCTTCTATTTGATGGCTATTCAGAATTTTTTTAAATTTATCTTTGTCTAGCATGTAAAAGAATGATGCATTCACTATTAGTTATGATTTTCATTATGAATAACGCCCTGAAATGTGCTTGGGTTATAACTGTTGGGAATAGAATCATCTATTCTCAGCAGTAACACGCAATCAACAACTTTTAATTTCATATTATTTTTAGAGTTTTATTCGGCAAGCCGAATCGATGTTGGCATCTCCTACAACGCCAACGGATGCTTCACCAGGCGTGTCCAATGCGACCCCGGGAGTTATCGGTGCCCAAGAGGTGTACAGAGATCCCAGAGCCCGAAGATTAGCTGAACAGGCACAAAGAAAGGACCAAAACCTCAACACAGCAGTGCCAGAGAAACTTTCGTTCAAAGAAAAAATGAAAATGTTTGCCATGGAGACTGGTGAAAAAGAAACACCTAAGGATAAGAGTAAAATCAGTAGAGCGCAGAGAGATATTGACGGTTTGGGTTCTCCCAGTTTGGTTCATTAGACCTTGTTTGATTGGTTATATTTAAAAGGCTTTTAGGCCTCTCACACATGATGATGATCTTGAATGAAAATAGAACGTGATCGAGTATTAAAAGCAAAGTAGTGGAAACAAAGTTGATTAGTTTTTATTGTATTTTTTATGGTCTCCATCAAGTGTGGTAAGCTTTTGGCCAGCGTAATAAATACTGGTCTATAAATATACAAGAACTTCCCAGGCTATCTATCTCATATTGATATGATAAATGAATAACTAAATTGACTAATAGCATGTCAAGTAACTTCGAATAAATTTCAATGGTGATTATCAAATACTTCAATGGTTAACTGCTTATTTTTATGTATAAAGCACTTTGTCGAAGGATTTAGGGCCTCTAATGACGTAATTTTGATGACATGAATTGTGGACAAAAGTTATATTTGGGGCGACTAATGGTTGACAAAGAGTTCTCAGGGATAGTCGAATTTTATGAGATAGTATTAGTTATTCTCACTGTCCGGGGTAAGAGTCTGTTTTTTATCTTGTTCCGATCCAGAAGATCATTTCTAAAAGAAAACATTTTTCCAGCGTTAAATACACACAGATCTACATTCAATCAACTACCTTCTTGTTAACTTCCATTTATAGTACTCGATCAACTTTTAATCGACCGTATTCTACCATCTTTTTATTAGCTATTCTTAGATCAACATTTTCTACCATTTATTTTTTTCCTTTTTGGTTGTATCCTATATTTCTGTGTTATATTTTACACAGTTTTTTTTTTTCATTCTAGGTTCGTACTTTAAAGTTTAAATTAATTCAGTGCTTTCATTTACTTAATTTTGCATGTTTTTAGCTCAAAAAATTATTTCTAAAATCAAGAAGTTTAGTAACACTCTAGTATACCGATTTTTTTAATTTTCATTTGTTACCTATATTATTATTTACAGTTCATCATTAATTGTATGTAGTTTGTGTATATCGTTACATTTCCCTCCGCCCGTTTTGGAATTGGTTAAAAGAATTATGGGACTATTTGTTTGAAGTTTTAAGTATAAAAAAATATATATTATAAATTAAACTATATTGTAAGTAATTTTTAATATGCATATCTACCTGTTAGCATACTCTGTACCGTCCAATATGCAGCTATAGTGAATATACAACGACCAAAACCTTACACAGAATGTTTAATTGCACTTTATGAAAAATAAATCGCTTGGTGTAACATATGTAACATTTTGGCAAGCAAGGAAGCAAGCCGTAGTTTAAACTAGCCTGAGAGACCCTTTTAGTATGACATTAGGTTAGTTAGTAGTTAACCCGCTTAAACAAAAATCACTCCACTCCAATGCTCCAGATCATCTCCAGATCACTTTCCCCCGATAGCTCTCTGATGCGCTATAGAAGCTGTCTTATCAGCAATTTTCATAGCGGTTTTCATAGCGAGTTTGATTCTTCTTCCTGTGAGTCCTCTTATTGCGGCTCTGGCCGTTGCGGTTTTCTGGACTGTCGATATGAGTGAATTTTCTATAATCTTCAGGGTATTATGTTTGAATGAGAGTTTCCCTTCCATCTTTGGAAATTTTATTGACTCTGTATACCCTTTTGAGTTTCAGCAATTCCCATCATTGCTCCTGTTTCGTTCACTGTTTATATTTTTTTTACTAGTGGTTATGGACTTGTTGATGTTGGTTTCTTTTTTCTTTTCTCTGTTGGTCTCTTCACTATCCTTATTTGGTAGGAGAGAAAAGTCTTCTCTGTTTTGTGCCTTGGATGTTGATGACTCAGTTTTTTCGTCCTTGACCTTTTTTAACAGGGAAGGGAAATCTTCATTAATTTTTGTTTTGGTTGTATTCTCTGTATTTGTGTTGTTCTTATTAGTATCTTCCATTTTTTTCTTTGTTATTGTCCCCACTGGATTTTTTTTTCATTTATTTGTTTTTCGGATATCTTGTTTTGGTTTTTAAATTCGTCGAATATTTTATCTATAGCTTTCGATAGTTTTTTCGTTCGACTTGGAGCGCTACGCCACTGCATTGCGGCTGTTCGGTTAAAGCCAATTTAATGTTTTCCAGTTTATCACACTAAATATTTATGTAGTTAGTCCAATCGTCAGAGTGTTGACCCTACAAATCATACGAACAAGCTGAATTTTACACAGAATATTAATTTTGGGACCACAAAAAGATGCAAAAAAGTTTAAAGTGACCGTCGATTTTGAATGTCAGTTATGCACGCGAAATCAATGTTATACAATTTGTATTAGCTCGACGTTATAAATTCGATATCTTTTGATTTAAGTGTCCTATCGACAAATAATGTCAAGATGTGTTTTAAAGGTAAAGAGTGAAGCTTTCGTAAGCAATTTTTCTATTTTGCCGAGAATAAATTCAGTTTATATAAAGGTGTTATATAAATAAACTTGGTGCGATTTTTGCCATTTTTTACGATTATCGTGAGATCAATAAAATTGATCACTTTTATTGACAAGTTCTTGTAAAATTTTCATTTTTAGAGATCAAGAAGAAATTTTAAATTGCCAAGTTGTGGCAACAAATATGAGGCATTTGAAATATGAATAAAAAACGCAGAATTTAACATTACAAACGATCACACGTCACGGGAAATGCATTTAAGAAGACGGTTTTGGGTGTATTTTATTACAGAAGTTTGAAAAGCGTACTGGAGTAGTTGAAAAAAGTTTTAAATGTTTTGGATCATTTGTTATGTGAAAGTTTAAATCCAGCCTCACGTAAATGCTCACATTTGTTGTCAAATCTCAAAACAAATTTCATGCAATAGGTTTTAAAGGTTAGGCTCTAGTAATCGAAACTTTCCCAGTGGCCAGTCAGTTAAACAAAGGGATATATTGAAAGATTGTATTGATCTCGTGAGGATCACAAAATGGCAAAAATTTCGCCACGTTTATTTATTTAGCAGCTGTATAAAATCTGAGTTTATTTTCGGCAAAATACAAAAAACAACATACGAAAGCTGAACTCTCTACCTTTAAAACCGAGGGGGGTTTTAGGGAGAAACCCGAGGGTAGACGTAGTAACCTTTTTGTATCTTTTTTGGGGTCCCAAAATTAATATTTTCGACAAAAATTCAGCTTGTATGTTTTTTTTAGAGGTTCAGTGGCATTTTCGTCTCTGAGGACTGGTGTAAGTATAAAAATTATATAATTGTTGTTACTCTTGAAAATTAATAATTTATCAGAGGCGATCAAATAGTGTGTATTTAAATTTTGAAAGATTTTTTTGCTTCACGTCTCTGTAGCACTATTAATCTATGACAACTTCTATAATCTATAGAATCAATTATTGATGGTTCTTTTTGTTTGTCTATTCTTTATGGTCCAATGTTCAATCGTTGTTCTACCAATCGTCTATCAGTCCGAAAAATTAATGTATAGAAAATCTAATAATTTTGAAATTCAATAACTTTTGGAATAGACGAATTTTTGCAAAGCAGTAAAATGTTACATTATTGTATCTGTATTGCAAAATTAACACGGTCAAAGCGGTTATGTTTTTTTTAAAGATTTTTAGTAGTCTAAACATTCTGTATTTTTATTGAATATATTAATGAGTATCTACATATTAAATTATACAAGCAGTCTTCTAGCCATAAAAAAATTAAAATGAACTAGCAATGAAATTGAAGCAGTCTAACTTGCCATTGGTTATATTAGTGGTTATGAAATAATTATTGCGAATGAAATCCCTACACTGTTTGTGTATTAGAAATTTTTAATTATATATTGTAATATATATCATAGAATCCCTATTTTTTGTCAATTTATATATAAAAGTATTCCTCGTAGAGTTTAGAATATTTCGGATATTTTAAATTTTTTCGGAGCAATATTACATAAGTATAAAAATAATAGCACACACGGACCAAACAATATATTGTACTATATTTTTCCAATGTTACTGGGATGTATTTGATTGCGAAACGTTTTAAGACTTATTTTTCATCATTATGCTTCGTGCTTTACGAAATTTTTTATGCAAAATTCGCCTCTTATCTTTCAGTTTTTTTTAATATGCTTCTTATTTCTAAGGTCTTTTTCGACTGTCTTAAAATGTTTTCAGATATACAAATGTGCAGCTCGGTTAGTATATCATACACGCATTCCATGGATCCAATTTTAAAAATATTGTATAGATTTTAGTCATGATAAAATATTATATGAAATGGGCATGCTGAACCCTACAATTTTATTTGTTGTGATATATTTTTAGAATATTTAAGTTACTTATTGATTAAGTTTGGCCATTGAATATATTTATGACAAATTTAACTTTCACTATTCAATATCTTTAGACAAAAAAATAGTCTTCACGAAGCGTGTAAACAACATTATTTCAAAATGTATGTTTCAATAGAGAAAAAATTTAACAAAAAAACAAAGCAAGCACCAATAATACAACATAATAGGGATTCAAATTAAACTAAAATATTCCTTCTGGACTTATAGGTGATATTTCTTTCAAAAGGTAGCTACAAAATAAAATGTGCAGGGTTCATCATACCTCGCTTTCGATGTCAATCTGAGCAATATGTATGTAATTAGTTGAGAATATTCTCTAGAACTAGTTTGTATATAAACTTGTAAAGGTAGATTTATCATTTTATAGTTTATAATACAAAAATATCGTCTGTTTTAATAAATTATGTGTTATCTGAAATTAAATTTATATTAAAATAATCCGTAATTTCAGATAATTTTCTTTATTTTGTAATATAAAGAGTTATTCAATAAATATATCTCATTAAATGTTTTTTTTTTATTTAAATGTTTAATTCATCATCACTTTTCTTGTACTGTCCTGATCGTAAATCTTAAAAATCGTCGATTATCAAGTAAAATATTTGTTTGCCATTGAATATTTACTATTATTATTTTTTTGTTTGGAAATTAACTAAAACAATTGTTACTATTATTACGTGTTCTAGATTACTATTGGTCCGTAAATACTTTTCAAAAAATGTTATTAAATATAAACATGATTCTGTAAATATTTCGCGCCTTTATGTCAGAGACTATCAGTAAATGGCTCAAGTGATTAATTTTTTGAATTTTAATTATAACGTGATTTATTTATTGTTAAAATTACATGTACTCGTATGAGTACAATGAACGTATTTGAGTATTTTTGATATTTTATAATTTTGTCACAGATATGGTATTTGTAGATAATTTTAAGAGTATTAGTGTTTGAAATTTCTATGGAAAGAAATACGAAGGTTTACCTTCAGGTTTAGAAGATATTCTCCACATCCAGAATATGCTAACTGATGAGTAAGATATTGAGACGGAAATTTGACACTATAAAGGATGTTGTAAGAGAAATTGAATTCCGTTGCTCGTCAGATGAAGAGCAATGAAAAAACGCGGAAAAGATCAATACACAGGAAAATCTATAGATGACATAAATATTAATATGGACGAAAATCTTCTGGAATTTAATTATCATGACAGTGATGAGGGTGAAATGATATGTTGGATGATTTAGTAAATAGCAATGGTTCTGAAATGTCAAATAGTAGTAGCTACGCAGATAACACACTAATTGAAACATTTGTACCCAAATAAAAAAGAAAAGTATCAGAAAAGTCGTACCGTGGACTAATGAACAGAAGGAAGTAACATTAAAATACTTTAAAGATCATATCAAAGTAAAGAAAGCCCCTAAAAGACTAGAGTGTGATGAGTTCTAGGAAAAGTTTAAAAAATTAATGGACAACAAAGATTGGTTAAAAATCAAAGTTTTTATACAAAATGCATATAAAGGCAAGTAAGAAAATAATTAAAATCTGCTTTAGTATTTTTAATATTTCCTATCGCGGAGTTAATTTTAATATTGTATATCATTTAGTTTCATGAAGGCATCCCATGGGGTGATTTTATGTGTGGTCAAACATTGTAATAAACTTCCACGAGGAAACTAAGTTCCTGTAGCTGGCTGTATACCATATATCACAAAAAAATTTTGTTAAAATCCTTTATAAAAGGTATATAAAAATGCCTCAAACGGGCTATCACAAACACATTGCAAAACGTTTTCGGATTAAACAATCCATCATCAGTGCAAACGGTTGTACATGCTAGTAGCCACCAAAATATATGGGTAAAAACCCTTTAAATGTTATAAATTTGAAATTGTTTTACATTATTAGTATTTCTAATATCTAACCTATCCAACGGTAACTTAACCATCACAAATTAGAAATACTAATAATGTAAAACAATTTCAAATTTATAACATTTAAAGGGTTTTTACCCATATATTTTGGTGGCTACTAGCATGTACAATCGTTTGCACTGATGATGGATTGTTTAATCCGAAAACGTTTTGCAATGTGTTTGTGATAGCCCGTTTGAGGCATTTTTATATACCTTTTATAAAGGATTTTAACAAACGTTTGAGGCATTTTTATATACCTTTTATAAAGGATTTTAACAAAATTTTTTTTATTGTAATAAACGTTTCATTTCTTCTCTGACTATTTATATAAAATCCTTAGTTCAGATTCGATATTGTGAAATAAAAGATCCTCATTTAAATTATTTTGGCATATGGTAATAATCATAAAATCTAGTTACTAATTACTAAAGAAGTTAATAAATTGTTTCTATTTTTAAATGTTTTCAAGAAGAAGAACTACATGAGTATATAAATTTAGTTGTGATATTTTTTGCCTTATAAGAACATTTCTAACAAAATTATCTTCCCCATACTTGAATAGAATTTCTTCGTTTCCGAAATATGATATTTAACTGGTTCTCTTATGTTTTTTCCGTCAATTTTGAAGTTATACTTATATACGCGCGTTCGACGTTGGAAATTGGTACTGGAGTGAATCGGTGAAATCATTACATATGTAAGATATATGTAAGAGATGCACCTTATTTAATGACATATTAGAGGTTACAAAAAGAGCAGTACTAGGCTCGGGCTTCAGTCTGGTCGAGGTATCTTGGTCTGTGCTTTTATTATAGCTCAAATATAAAGAATCAGAGAAGTACTGAAGATACAGCTACGAAAAGTTAGAAGATAAGAGAAGAGAAGAGAAGTCAGAGGATAAGAGAAGGGAAATATTTGGCACCACCCTATTTTTAGAGGAACAGGGAATCCTTAAGACATATAGAATAAGATAACAAGAAAGGTAAGGTACAGTTAAGATAATCACGCGAGAATAAAGTAAACCATGAGAGAAAAGGTATTATGATTTTGCGGTACACACTTAATATTTCGACACATATACGCTAGTTATATGATAAAACAAATAATAATATAAGTCAATAAAAATGCCCGAAAGAGATACACCATGCGCAAAAATATAAATATCACAACAAAAAATAAAAGGCAGGTAGTTCGTCAACGAAGTTATATTGAGGTATAGTAGTAAAAAATGCACTATAACAATTTCTACTGTACAGTTAAATGGCACGAGATAAGTGATTGCACAATTTATTATTGAATACAACAGAAAAGATCTTTTTTTTGAAAAATAATTCTGAATAATTCAAGAAAGAAAAAAAACAGGGAATATAATAATTGTCAATATTCGCCAAAAAAATTATTATTATGCCTTGAGAATACGTAAACATTTACTAAATTTGTTTTGAACCTCAAATCTATTCATAAAATTTATCATAAATATTACCTAGATTAATATAAAACAAATGGTTCGTAATTTATATGTATATATTATATCGTAAGTTTATACCCGTGATATTTGATTCGGTTAGAGTTAACCATAAATAGCAAAGTCATTAAACTGAATGTTGTAAATCAACTTCTTACTATTTAGGTAGCGAAGATGAGCTTTAGTCAATAAAATTTTATAGGTACTCACAATACAGTAGGCAACAGGTGGACACAGATAGTGACGTTCGTTTTTAGAACGCTCCCAATAAAGGCACTTAACACGTGGTCCTCGCAACAGGTACTTGGGACGGCAGGTACAGTAACGAATTAAAGTCTTCAATCCGTAATCTCTCAAATTGATTTAGGCAGACGAAAAGAGAAGCAGCCAGGCAGGAACAGCACAGATAGTAGTAAGTAGTAGAGATAAATGAAGAGACGAAAGAACGTAGAGATAAATGATCGTAGCGACGAAAGAAGGCGTCGAACAGCAGAGACGAATGAAGGTAAAGATGAATGATCGGCAAACAGAAGTGACTTCGTTCCTTTGAATTGGAAGACGTCTGTTTGACAAAAGAAAAAATAGTTAATATAGGACTCACTGTTTGAAGATATTTTATATAGATAAGGGTGAATTGAAAATACACTTACCGCCGTTTGATAGAGAAAAACCGCTTGCCGCAGGAACCAACTCGAAAATGAATTCGAATTCTGATCTTAGACAAGCTAAAGATAAAAAAGTAGTGGGAATATTGGCTGAAGAGTGCCACACAAAAATAAAATTTAAATGGCAAGGCTAGTGTGGTCATTTTTGTAACCTAACCACTATCTCCCGAAAGGAATTATACTTTCACCGAAAACCAACTCTTCTGCTTTTCTGAGAAGGTAGACCGGGTATTTCACAATAGGCACTTGATTACTTTGTTACTAGGAAAGATTTATATTTAGCAAAGGATAGATAAAAAGAACAGGGAACATTTGGCGAAATATTTCATTGTTAAAAAAAAAGCGTAACAAATAGCTCGTTGCTGTTGTTTTATTTAAAAGGCTTTTAACAAAATATATAGACATAGGCAGCGTGAAAGTAATTTTATAAGGGGAATAATTTAAAGAAATTTTAAACATACTTCACGGCCCTTTGCACGATGTAAACCGGGTGTGAGTTTGTATCGGAACTGTGAAACAAGGAAGCATGTGAGAACTATCGCAAAGACAAGTTGAGAAAATTTACGGTACTACGATAACACATACGTAAAATATGACCAAGTAACATTATAACCTAATATAAACATACACTAAATATTATCTATCTAACACGATAGTCAAAAGATAAAAGTAATTCTACAAGTTTTACAAAATTTATAATGGTAGAAGCTTAATAATTATAATTTTTACAAAAGGTATAAAGTATAAGCTTAATAAATGTATATAACCTATATAATATATTTGTACAGCTATGTTAATATTTACACATATGTGTCAAAAGGTATAAGAGGGTATCCGCTAAATAGTATTACAGCAAAGCAGGACACGTAAGGCAAACAAGACAATATGGAGATCGTTAGACAATGAACGAGAGAGTGAGTTCGTAGCGATATTGTTAACGTAAGGTACATTGGTTAAATAACATTGTATCAGTAAATAGTACGAGTATTTTGCTTAGATATCATCACTATAAAGATATATTCAACATTGGTTCAGTTAGGTTAGAAGGTAACTAAAAATCTAGATAATGGTACTTATCGAAATATAGGCGGTAATTATAAACGATTAGTATGCCAATGTTTTTCGTAACCAGGTATAAGGGTAATAAGATTAATGTTAGGTTTGGCTAGGTAAATAGTGAGTTTGTAACTAACAAGAAAAATTGTAATGAGGATTTGAGTACTCAGTATCTCTTAATGATTATCAAAAGTCTATGCAACATTTACAAGAGGTGGAGATTTAATAGAGTTAAAAAAATATATTTCAGTAAGGTGGTTGCAAAAACCCGAGGTTTAGGAGCAGGAGGTACGTATGGTACGTAATTTTTCAAGTTCACAAAGAGTATTTATTCTGCTATTGATGGAACTAATCTCTTAGGCACCAAAATTTACACTAAGAGAGTCATTTAATTGTCCTCT